ATTGAAAAGGTTGCGCCAAGCAAGATGGGCGAGTAGGCCTGGTAGGCGGTCTCGTTGACGGTATAGTCAGGGCTCAAGATTCGGGAGGTATTGTATGGTTTGGCGAAGCGGTCCCAGTTCTTATTGGCGCTAAGCGGTAAATACTTGTACTCGACGGGACCGCCGTAGGCGAGACCGATAGCTCCAATCAAGCAGATGAGGAGACCGAAACCCACGTTAAGAATAGCGAAGAGAGGCGTCTGCAACGGACTGCCTAGCCAGGATGACACACCAAGCCAATCAAAGGTGATGGGCAAGATGCCAAGACCAGAGACGTGGCCGAATAGCTGGTTAACGATGATGTTATTCGGGGCGATCCAGCACGCAAACGTGAAGTACTGAAGAAATGTGGCAAAGACTTCAGGGATCCACTGGTACACAAAGGTAACTAGCGAAACGATTATAAAGAACCTGTATCGAGAGATTTGCCAGCCATTCGTACTGGCAGGGTCAGAAGGAACATGTTTATGCAGCGAATGCATAACCGTGCAAGTCACTAAATTAGCAGGCCAGACCATAGATGCAGGCCAGACTAGGAAACGACGAGCAACGCCAGCAATGCCGAAGCCCATGGCTTGAGTGGAGACGATAAGCAGGATCTGGAAGCCCCATCTTTAAAATTGAGTTTATTAGCACCAAGATATAGGTATAGCAAGTGCAAACGGATATGAAGCGTCATCTTACCCGAATCTTTGCTTGTAGAAGACCTCTTGGGCCAGCAAGATGTCGATAGCGTAGCTGTAAGTTGAGCCAGCAGCAGTCATCATGGTGATGATGGTGTGCTCCTTGACGTTGAACGGCCCGGGGTTGAGGTTGTACTTCCAGCCTAAGAAGCTGCGCTCCTTGTTCGGGAGAATGTTGGCCAAACCGACACCTAGTCTTCCCGGAGCGAATGTAAGCAACTTGGTTTGGTGTGATTGGATTAAAATGATTTGTGACATACGGGTAGGCGATCAACTGCACCACAGTGGATGAGATGTTGGCGGATGAGACATGCATGGAGAGGAGAACGTTGCACGCGGCAACGACTGTGCACAGCAGCGCACCAAGAAACCAAGCTCGGATAGTGTCAACAGGCATGTCCTGCTCGTCGGATGGCGGGACCTAGAAAAATGGCATTGTCAGCGCCAGCCAAACTGACCTGGGGTAGAGATCTTCGTCAAGACGTCGTCAAACAGGCCAGGCGAAGCGAGGAAACGTACCGATGCGCGGACTTCGGGGTAGGGAGAGTCTTCCTGAATGAGGGTTTCGTCGACGACGGCTTGCTTCTCGACGTTTTCTGATGCGAGAGCATCATCAATTGTGTCGAGCTTCTCGTTGTCCAAGAAGGGATCCCATTTATGCTGTCTGCTGAAGGCCTTGAGCTCATGGGTGGGATCACCCATGACGCCAGCGGGAAGTTCTTCCTCGCCAGACATTTGCCTCTGCGAGAGGCCGAAACGGTCCTTCAAGCCCATTGTGAGAGTCGGTTGTGCCAAGGCCTTTACTCTATGGTAGGGGATGCAAGATTGCAACGAGGATTGTGAGAAAGATGGAGATCCCCAATGGCGAGAAGCAACGGGAAGGGAGGCAAGATCGGATGGCAAGCGGGAGACTGGCCGTCGGCGGTTCATCTATATATGTGAATTGAATAGCTGGCGACGCTTAGTTTTTGATATCGGACGGGCCAAACAAAGGCCCTTGTTGAGTGGCGATCCAATCCATTCTTTGGCTTCCACAACCGCGAACCCCAACTTCCATCAGTCTCGCGGACCACTCGAGTCGAGAACGATCATCCATCGGTATCAATTAGGTCAGGGTAGCACACGCTAAGCTTCGGGACCATGCGGAATTAGCCAGGATGGACCGGTTGGAGCATATGTTAGCATTGCGCTCTTCGCCATTGGTCCTCTCACTCCTCTCACCACTGGCCACATGAAGGATCTTTTGCTCAGATCCCCAAACTACCCCAGCTCCACACGGGCGCACCCACTTCGGCAGGGGACCACGAGAGCACAACAGAGCGCAAGAGGCGTCAAGCGGCCCTGGATCGGCAGCAAACCATATTCTGATGTGAGCGGGCGCGCCGGGGTGGGCTGGGTAATGGAACTTTGGGAACTGGTGTACGGAGTACGGAGTATTAAACATGGAAATGGAACAAGGGCCACCAGAGGGTGTAGAGAGGGCACCAGTTGCCAGTTGGCCTAGTGGCGACGACGCCAAGGGGATGGCCGGATGCGGCGTTTCGACAAAAGGACCATGTTTGCAATCGATGGCGAGCTTTTCGTTGGCAATAGATGGAGAAGACGAGATCAAGGCATCGTCGTTTGGCTTGTCCACACATGCCAGGTCTTGCAAACTCGCACGTGCGGTCCTGGGTCGCACCTGCCGCAACTGGCGTTTCCCAATGACTGTCCATCCTTCGCCCCCCGCTTCCATCCTCGCCTGCATTCCAAGGCACTTCGACGTTCATCCCTGGTCTGTTCATCAGGTTGTGTATGTACTCCGTACATGTCACGAGGCTCTGCTGTGCCATTCTGCGGCCAGAATTGTGATTGCCGGCGGGCGGTCGAACATGGTACCATTACCCGTGGAACAGGTCACAAAGGGGTCCAAGGTCCACTGGAATGGAACGAGGCGAGACTGGTCGTTCGGCGCCACCGTGAGTGATACTTGGGCTTTATTCGAGATAAGGCCTGCGGCTGCAATGGTCCACATTGGTAGTACTCCGTACTCGCAGCATCTTGTCTGCTTCCATGTCCATGGACATCAATGACGCGCCGAATTTATCCAAGTTGTCAAGCTTCGTCCGAGTCAGGTGGGTCATGAGCGCCTATGATCCCAGCAGCCATCACTGGGAATACCGCCTACTAACCTCTTATCTGCCAAGCTGCATGGGCATGAACCCCCGTCTCGCCTCCTCGACAGCGGTAGCTTCCAGCTTGGCACTGGCTGTTATCAAGGTCGGATCGCTTGGCAAGATGGCATTGAATCGCCAAGGTACTTGGCGACACCAACAGCTTGGGCCGAGGCGTTTTGGCTGTCACCAAACCGCCATTTGGGACGCAACCATCTGCAAAGCAACAGGAAATACCCCCCCAGCACAGATTACGCTCCCGAACAATTGAGCTACTCCGGCCAGCCTCTGGTTAGTTCGCTCCTTTGACGCATCTCCCCTCCTGGTGGGCAGTCGGCGAATTGGCCAACGAAAGAAAGCGATGAGCGGACTTTGGAGAAACGCAGAGTCAGCAAAAGTTCCCACCAGCCATCGCACCCCGGAATCAGGACCTTGGGACTTGGAGAATGTAGAGGGGGTGCGGGTGACGCGCCGATTCGCTCGAAGGCGGGATTGGCGTCTCCCAGGGCGGCGTTTTGCTGCCCTCCCGTTCAATCTGTGCCATTCCGAATAGCCGGCTTGGCTGCCCATTTGGGCAAAGGATCCTTTTGAGTGCCTTTATCAGGGCCACTTCCATCCACCGACAACATGGTAGATTGTGCCTTGTATTCAACGCCCATTGTCAACCATTGGAATGGTTGCGCTCATTGGCGCGGCTTCAGGCTCAAAACGGCAGCTGCGAAACATGACAGAAAAGTGAGCCGACGGAGCTGAATCAACATTGCCCTTTTGTCGCATACGCCTGCGTCTAGTACAGACGCGGTATCTGACAGGTAGGTTCTCATTTGCCAGCAGCGGATTCAATACTAAGTTTTACATACTACCTAGGTAGCCGGGATGGGCTCAACCGTCATCTGCCATCAATCCTCCTACGTAAAACACATTGCACTCATCATTGTTATTTTCTTCCACACAACGCCGCGGGCAGTCGATTTGTCAAATTTGGGCTGTGCCACCTCCAAGTCGGAGAATGAACTAGGATCCGTCAATTTCACCAACCGAGCGCCCACACACAGATCGTCATCAGTCCTCAGCCATTGTTGTATGTATGTACAAGCAAGTTCCCGGCAACCGGTAATACCCACCTACACATCATGCTCCTCCTGTTTCCCCGCGCTGTAAACCCAGTCGAGCCATGGGAATCGGTTCTTACCCCGTGGGGTCTAGGTAAAAACGAGTTTTTTTCCACAGACGGAGAAGTCAAACCAGTCAGATGGCAACCCGGGCTTGAACACCCGTCGAGTCAAATGAATGCGATGTCCCGAATGCAACATTAATGGCCAGTGACAGGGCAAAACTTTGCCAGGCAGCTGGATATGGGGAAAGCTGCCAAAAGTTTATCACATGAGGTTCCAATTTGAAACAATTCCAAAGGTGGCAGTATGCTTCCACGGGAGTTACCGGTGGTCTGTTGATTAATATGCGGAGAAATTTCCTGGTGACCGGTATTTATAGGCCCAGGATATACTTCAGGCATTATGCAGTTGCATTCTAGTCTACTTCATGCAGCATGCAACATGAATGGGCCTTGACGGGTGCAGAAGCTAAACGTCAGCGTTGTAGTTATAATGGCCAATGCTGCCCTTCCACGTGATTCTCTGAAATTTTCCAGATTCTGGTGAATCTTTTAAAGGTGGCGAATGGCAGCTATTCTTAGGTTATCGACCCCAGCGGTCTTGATGCCGATGATGCCGATATACGATGGTCAGCTTGGTGTTGTTGGAAATACACCAGCAATTTACCACTCAGTTGTCCTGATTTCGTCCGCATTCACCTAGATACTCAGATGAAAGGTACAGAAGGCTTGACTCTGCGAGTCTACAAATCCTGCTTCGGTAAGTAACTCAATGTAGAATAAATACCTAGATCGTCATAACTACAAGCTAAATTATGTGATTCTGTACAGCACTAGCATTTCCATGGCGACACGTGGCCAATTAACTCGCGAGGAGCATGGGCGTGTGCTACCACGTCGCCCCCGCCTCTTGCCGAGCCTCTGCTCGTTGCCCTGTCGTCTGGGATTTAAACTCCTGTGGCATATTGCCTAAGTTGTTAGCCAGAGCAGTACCTATCAGCATTGTTTGTAATGTCTACGCCGGAAGATGCAACCCTAACAGAGAATGCAGACTCGGTAACCCCAAGGTTAGTTCCCAGTGAAAACGGTTCAGTTGCGGAGAAGGAGGGGAAATGGACGGCTGCTCTTCACGCCTTGAGCGATGAGGAGCGTCAGTTGTTCCAAAACCTCGATGCCGAAAAGCCTGCCTTGGGTATTCTGCAATATGTCCTCGCGGCAACTCTCAAGAAGAAGGAGGACTGCTTAAGGAAGAGGAGGAAAGTGAGGATTCCAGGTCGAGAGATTGTAATTCGTGATGTGCTCGACAAGTTGTCCGCTTGGGTCACAAAGTTCATCGTACGTCGCACCGGCATTTGCACAAACGCCCCGGCCAACTCGTGCTGCTAAATGTATGCTAATCCTTTTGTTTAGAGCATAGGTGATATAATCGTGCAGTACGACCCTGTGCATGCAGCGCTGCCCTGGGCTGCGGTCCGCTTCGTGCTGCAAGTGGCCGTGAATGATTTCGAGACGCTTGACCTCGCGCTTTCTTCCATAGAACGTTTGGTAAACTACATCACGATCTCTAGTATATTCGAAGTGCAATATCTCCAGCCCAAGCATCACCAGTAAGTGATTTAAATAAGGCCCGCAACGCCAAAGGTTTCCTAACAAACTTTGCACTCAGTCTCGACGTTTACCCTCAACTTTTTGAAGCAGTCGAGACTCTCCACACGAATGTCCTAAAGTTCCTGGGATACTTACTCCGCTACTTCGGCTCCAGCACCATCGCACGGCATCTCAAGAGCATAGTCGTGTCGAAAAAAGACATAGAAGCCAAATTTCAGCCCATCGAAAAGTCATGGCGCAGAGTGGACGAGCCATCACGACTTGCGACTGCAGAAAAGAACGAGGAAGAGTTTGAAGTCCTTCAGAACAAGCTACAGGAACTCTAGAGGCCCATCGCAAGAAGCGCCGACCACTTGGAGGCCATTCAAGACGGCTTAGAACGAGAAACTCGCGTGCGCATACTCAAAGCGATTTCTACGATTCCGTATCCCGTACACCACAAAACGGCACGAAAGATGCGCTTGGAAAGATCAGGCGCATGGTTGCTCCGCAGCAAAGCTTTCCTGGACTGGAGTACCTGGGTCAGGAAAGACAAAACTGACTTCGCTGGTTGTGGACGAGCTTGTGCAAACGAACAAGGTTGCATATTTCTACTGCATTCCAAGCCCTGCTGAGCCGCACCGAGGTCAGTGTGACAAGATAGTCGCAAGCATTGTACGACAACTGGCAAGCCTCAGGCCTGACCAGCCTATACTTGGCCCCGTAGTCGAGCAATATCGAGAAGCGATAGACGGGTTTTCTGAATTTGAAGATCAGGCTTGGTCTATTGAAGAGTCCGACAGGGTTGTCCTGGAGCTTCTAGGCGAATACCCCGCCGTTACCATCATTCTCGATGCATTGGATGAAGTCAACTACGAAGAACGACAGACGCTCATGGACGTATTGTCAAGATGGATTCAAAAGTCTCCAAATCTACTCAAAAATCTTCATCTCGAGCAGGGATAACTACGATATCGTCTTACAGCTCGCAGAATCGCCCAATATATACATTGATGCTGATGAGAATGCTGAGGATATTGCTTCTTTCATGCAAGTCGCCTACTTTTGTTTATTTCTAATCCCATCGTCCAGCACCGCAGGGCTAATGTGTGGTGTATCAAAGCGACAACCGTGTTGACAATGCACGACTCTTGCACGGAAAATTGCTGACCGGACTTCGCGACACCATCGTGCAAACCTTGCAGAGCAGTGCTGGAAGAATGCAGGTTTGATCCTATGAAAATCGCGCAGGGCGATTGAGATTCAAAAGCGAAGAACTAACAAGCAGTGTAGGTTTCGTTGGGTTGAGCTCCAGATTCAGTCCCTGGTGCCACTCAAAGTTGCAGCGGACAATCGTAATCGACTGGGAAAACTGCCACCTACCCTTGAAGGCTCGTATTGGGAGATCTATAACACGATTCTAGAATCTGGCAAACACGCATCAAAACTGGCCATCTTCACGTTTCAGTGGCTTTTATATGGGCAAAAAGTCATTACAGCACACAACTTCGCCGCCATCGCATCAGCGTCTCTTCAGATTCAAGAACCGAATGGCGAAAAAAGGCGCTCCGACTCTCTAGAAGCTATCACGACCGGTGAGATTCTCGACGTCTGTGCTAATCTCGTTGTTTTGCGCAACGGGGTGTTTGTGCTGGCTAACTTATCTGTGCGAGAATTCCTGGAAGGCCTTACCGCGCGGAGTGTTGATACTATGATCGCAGCAAGAGGTAACGCCGCGATTGCTGCGGCATGTCTTCAGCTTTTCTTGACGAGGACCGAGGCAGCGTACGACGAACTACAGGAGTCAGCTGTGGCCGACTCTCCACGGGACACTAGAAATACACAGTCACCAATTGAAGAGGTGATGGACTCACCTACTGGAACAAAGGGGCCGCAGTCCGATGATGCTGCTGAATCGACCACAGCAGAACCGGCCTTGAAGAAAGATGGCAACGATTCGATTGACGATTCCTCTACGCCCGGGGCCGACGACTATCAATCTAAGGCTACGGTCAAAGCCCAACCGCCCGAACCTAAGCCGATTCATGTTAAGATTGCTACTCACATGATCAATAGCGACGATTCGCACGCATCAACCTACTCATGCGTCTACTGGGCCCAACATGTTCAGGCATTAAAAGAACTGCGAACTAAGCACGCTCTAACAGTATTACTCACCGAATTTCTTGTCAACGCCAAGGATTCTAAAAAAGTGACAATATCCTTTCAGGCTTGGCACGCATTGGCAACTGTTTCGAACAACCCCGACGACTTTCCGGTTGAGAGCAAATTTCACGACGCCGTACAAGATAAACCAAGCCCAATTTGGGTGGCCTGCTTGTACAGATGGTACGAGCTAGTTGAACAAATATCACAATTCAATAGGTACGACGGCATCAATCAAGCACGATCAATCCAAAGCATCGAAGCTCCGGAGGAGTGGGATATAACGCAAGGTGATATGACGCCACTAATTTATGCGGCTGTGTCGCGTGACATGAAATTGACAACTCTTATTCTGGATAACATTGGCATGGAAATTCAACTGGGAGAGTCGTCAATAGAAACGAATCCATTAATCGGTGCAGCCGCATCGGGCGATGGCGAGATGGTTTCCATGTTGCTCGAGAGGGGCCATGGCGGGCTTGAAATTGAAGCCGACTCGTTACGTGCAGCAGCTGGTATGGGACGCCCTGAGACGATGAATCTTCTGCTGGAGCATAATGGTGATCTGATACAAGAGGCGGGATATAGGGCGCTAAAATTGGCTTGTGCCCGAGGTCAAAGGGAAGCTGCCGCTATGCTTGTCGAAGCTGGAGCATCAACAGGGCGTCGTGTAAACCTCGTCGCGTCCGCCACGTACTACAGCCATTACGACGTGTTGAAGTACTTGCTAGACAGGCAGATTGGTCTGTCGGGCATTGCTCGGTTGCTGAGCCTGGCTGTGTCGCACGGCGACGATGAGGGAGCGGCCATTCTTCGCACACACGGGGCTATACGAGAATCTGTGGCCGTAATTCGAGCCATCAAAGCAGGTACTCCCAGATCCGCTATCCGACTGATCGAAGCTGGGTTTGACGTGCAACGGCATCATTTCCTAGAGCGAGACACGCCGTTGCACGTTGCGGCGCAGCGAGGACATACGGGCCTTTTGAGCGCATTGATCAAAGCTGGAGCCGGCGTGAATTGCGAAGAATCGGCTTGGACAGACGCCACTACATCTTGCAGCAGGGCGAAAAGGGTCTTACGATACTTGCAAGCTACTCCTTGATGCAGAAGCGGATACCTTGATAGAGGATCGGACTGGGCACGTTCCACTGGATATCGCGGAGCAGAGCGCGGATGAAAGCGTCGAGGACCTGATTCGAAGCAAGATGGAAGAGTTGTTGAGAGAGCTTCAGGATTGGGACAAGGCACGGGCGCAGACAATGACCGCAGACAATGAGCCGAAGGACAAGGAACTTGACGAAACTCGAAGCGACGGCATGAAGTAATACGTATAACGAATAATGATTGAACGATTTTTTCAGCTTGTATAAGACAAGCAAAGACGCTGGTTCCAAACTATACATGTCCATTCTCTACTGCGAGTCATTACACGCCCCCAAAGCAAGGAATTGGTGCCTGTGGCTCTTGCCGTCCGCACGCCAGTGGCCACATTCGAAGAGCCGAGTCAACCACCAGCTCCGTACTCAATTTGAGTAAAAGTTAATACAGTCCGGTCATGTCGTCGCCGCCTAAGCTAGCTACTAGCCATATCGATGTCTTCAGGTATAAAAGACGGCACCGCAGACACATTTATTCCTCAACATTACACCAACGTCAATACAAAACAAACATCGCATATTATTCCCACTTCCATTTCACTTTTTCATATCCGAGATGCGTTTCCTCGTCCTGCTATCTCTCGCTGCGCTCACCGCCACGGCTGCCGTTGTCGAGCGCACAGGATCCTACATTCTGAATGATCAAGGCGAGGTTGTTATTGAGTCATGTTCCTCTTGTACCCACTGCATGCCAGCAGGAAGACGTTGTTCGCGCTGCTGCGCTCCCGATGGGTGCTGGTGTACTTGCGCCGGGGGCAAGGAGTGTTAGGGACGTCATGAAGGGCGGATGGCACGACGTCTCGGTGTCTCTATGAGTTTAGTGCATGGGGTCTGAGTGGGAAAGGCCAGCGTGGCAACCGTGTTTGGTGCTGGGCGCAGATTTCCCATATACTTGGTGTTTTGGGCGGATTCAAACGAAGTGATGCGACATCAAGAATGATTGCATTTTATGGCATCGAGAGAATGATACACGTTCAAGCGTCTATCGGCCTAGCATTTACACGAACTTCAACAGACCCGATTATAGTTGTGTCAACAAGGGGAATTTCAGAGGCTGGTCATGATAGTTGCGCTCGGAGTAGGGCTCGAATCGAGGGTCACAATACAGGTATCAAGGGCGGTCTGACCATGTATCAACGGACACCTGGGGCGAATTGACAGGATTCCAGGGCCTTGAACGAAGGGATGTACTTATCATCAATATCACCAAATTCGTCGTTTTCCCCCTCATCTGTACGTATACAATAATCTCCAATTAACGCGCTGTTGAAAGCTTCTCGTTCTGCAGGGCGAATTTGCTCGAGGATGGAGCTGTTAAATCCAACAATTATTGATGTCAGCATGTGCGTCATCGCATACGTACGTCGACAAGTGAGTTATCCAGCCGGGCCTTTTTATCTACAAGGTTCAAATTCGGTTCAAGGTCCAAACGAGGCTGCCATGGAGGTTAAAATTGGGTTATAAAGCGCACATTAGCAGCTAGCTAGCAAAACCTAGTAGCTACGACTGTCGGGGCCTCGAAGATGGGTCAAGAGAGCCAAGGGCACATTTCGAAGCTGGATTCCGGGGTTATTGGGCCAAGGGCCGCTATTGCTATATCTTTTTGCTCCGTGGCTGTGGCCAAACCCGATACTACTCTGGCAGCGACCTTTTTGTTCAGGAGAACGGTGGCATTTTCGATGAGGCTACTGCCAATACCTGGTAGAACACCAAGTTGAGGCATGTATTTATTCTGGGGCAGGATATAATTTGCCACCGGGAAGGATACACTAATATACTGTAGTTTGTTCTATATGAACGCCATAGCCCGGGACACATTCACTTGAATGCTTTTTGCCTCCACTGTAGTAAGTCGGTGGCGATGAACAGCACGTGCAAAGGCTTCTTGTACAAACCAATTTACACGGCTCCTTCTTCGTCTCTTGTGCCACCCGGAGCAAAAATCGGGGACGGCGCCGAGGCCCAAACCTCGATCTCATCTGGTGTTACGAGGGACGGATCCAAAAGGGCATACTTGAAAGCTGGATACCAGGGATATTTCTCAATCTTTTTTCACGTGGACAATTAGACGATTCGATCCCCCGCCATTCCTCGCCAATACCTGCGGATGAGTCTGGTGACTCTGGTCCAACATCACTTGGCAGTTGTTCCTCGTCAGTCATGGCACGACCAACCTCCAGCCACGCAGCCGGCTTTCCTTGTGCAAAGATCATCAGCTACAGAGAGAACCCGCATACCCCGTGGGCTCCTGTTTCGATCCTGATGACTCGCCTGCCTGGGGAGGAGCTCGCGTGGCCTACGAGCATGTAAGCGCTCAACATGGCAACACCGCCATCATGGAGCTGCACATGATGCTGGGGGCGATTCGTTCCTGGGAAACCCCTGGGGCCGACGCATCTGCAGTGTTTCCGGCGGTTCTATCCGCAGTATCCGCGTTCCAAACCATCGCGTGGGACCTTGCGAGCCAGAGGACGAATTCTATCACTACCTTCTAAGTACCGCCTCATCTCACTCTTTCAAGACACGGCACGAGTATGACCCAGCCTCGGCTACTGCTCGGGCGATGCCTCTTGAGCATGGCATTGTTTTCACACATGGTGACTTTGCCTTTCACAACATCTCGGTATACAGCGGCCATGTGTCGGGTTTCATCGACTGGGAATGTGCCGGCTGGTGCCCTGAATACTAGGGGTTTACCCCCCCCCCCCCCCCCCCCCGGTTACGGTGGCCTTCACGGGACCCTGAAAATGGCTCTCCATTCTTGCAGCTGGGTGGTCATCGGTACAAGAAGGAGCTGGGACCGAGTTGGCAATCGTATCGTTGACTGTCGATTCGTGGATCTGCTTCTAGTTGGCTGTGCCCTCAATCACATGAAGCTTTTAGCTATAGACGACATGTGTCCGGTCCACGAATACCACATACCCTTGACGGGTATTTGGACACTTTGCGCTGTTTCATTACAACTACCGAAATTATACCCCATTCTGCGGACTAACTCGATATCGTGTACTGGAGAAACTAGATTAGGAGAAGAGAGGCTGCGGTAGTGGATGAGCCTAGAGTTTTCGGCATAGCATCCTTTTCACGGCGATAGTGTTCGATTTTTAGCTTGTGAGGCCTGGAAAATGCCTCTAGTGGATAAACACGCAGTCTCTTTTCTAGGAAACAAAAAAAAAAAAAAGGTCTTGTGCTTGAGCAAATTCTAACATGAACGTGGCAGAAGGGCGAATGCGTGGCGGAGGGCAATATGCCATTCAAAACAATACGATGAGCATCCCATGTCGGGAGTTTTATATAGCAGATGCAAGGCATCTACCATGAGTGCTTTATCGGGACTACGAGTGAGTAGCTATGCTGGCACCTGAATGCCACGCTATCAATACGATTACTTGTCTTACTATTACTTGTCTTACTCTTCCAACATAAGAAGAAGAGGAAAATAAAAGGGGATTTGTCTAGCCTTTCACCCTTTCATTGCCTTTCAAGTTGATTCCGACATGCTCATTCTCAGTGTACTTGTTTTGAATGGGCCACAAGACAAGGAGTAACCACCCTAGACCCAAATTCAATTTCGACGGATTTCGTTTTCAGACCACTGAGGATGGAACCATGCCAGGTGCTGACGACGCTTGCATTTCCATGTTTATAAACTTTGTATCCATGTCGTTATGATTGTGCTTTGTCAGAATACTCTTGGACATCAAGATAGTTCAGGAATGTGGCGTCAACAGTAAAGAAATTCTCCAAAATGCGCCGCACTCATACTAGTTGACGTCGACATAGACCTGGCCCGTTCGTTCAACTAGCAACTCACGCTATGCTATCAAGATTGCCATGAAAGTAGTTCAATCATCTGGTGCTCGTACACCACCGGCCCCTTGCGCCCGTATCTGACGCGCAGTAGCTCATCTCCATAAACGCCCCCAGTAGAGACCCCAACATGATCCCCCCAGTTTCGCCACTCGATACCATCCCAATGCAGAAATCAGCGTCTACCAAACGCGCATCATGCTCTATATAACCCAAGACCGCGGACAGTATCGCCATGTATATCGCCCCGCCGGCGACTCCCACAGACGACGCCAGTAGCAAGAGTGAAAACGCGCTCGATGCTACAAAGAAGAGCAGATTTATGAGCTGCAGCCCCGAGGAGACCCCCAGGAGCACAAACAGAGGGTACAGCTGTTTCCACTGGAACAAGACCAGTGACGATCGTGCGACGAAATCTCCCACCTGGAAAGCAGCTCCGAACGCGGCCTTGAATTGCGCAAATGCACCCAGGGATGCGGACATGGGCTGCAATCGAGTGGACGCCGGAAAGACGAAAGCCTGTACAGAAGACGCCATGAACATGGGCAGTATAAACTTGACCAATAGGGGCTGAACTAGAGTCAAACTTCGTTTAACTCTAGATCGCAACATGGCCGTCGGCTTGGAGGCACCACGCCCTGGTGTCAAAGGAATGTTCTCTTCCTCGTCGTTCACAGACGATCTCGTCCAAGGCGATTTGGTACTGATTCGAGGCAGCGGAGCTGAAGGCAGGACCACGAAATGCGCAGCTAGCAGAATGCCAACCAGGTAGTACACGCAATGGAGCAAATCCCGCAACAACATGCCCATGCCGTAGGTGAGCACATGCGGCATCACGGCGACCACCACTCTGCCGATGCCCGTGCCCATTCCCCAGCCGGCCAGTCCCCAGCGTCCATAATATCGCATCTGCGATAGAAACGAGACTTCTCCTGCCGCAGCGCTGGCCGAGGCCAGCATCGTCATGAGGATGCGAATGGGGGGCGCGACGTTTGGCGGCGCAGCCGCGGTAACAATGGCTGCGAGGATCCAGCATGCTGTGAGGAAACAGGGCCGAAGCCACCAGGCGACATGGCATAAGACATAGGGAAGGATTAGTTTTGTCGCAAGGGCCGGTGATGCTTCGATGAGAATCACTGTCGGCCGCGAATATGGAATGATGAGGTAGCTAGAGGAGAAGATGATGGACGGCAAGACGACATTGACGAGGCCTATGAGGGAACAGTCAGCCGGTTTGTCGTTGGTACTAGCCAAGAGCAAGACGAAAAGCTCAAAGGAATAAAGTATCAAGATGCTCCTTGAAAACATAGGTTCCAGGGACGCGCGTACCTAGGATGCAGAATCCCACGAGAGCTCGAACATCATGACTGGCAAACACGGCGGCTGGTCGACGAAGCGCAGTCCTGACTGCTGGCATCTCGTCATCTCCAGGGCTCAGATGTGAGCATGACAATGTTGATCGATGCAGATTGTATTAGAGAGGGACACGCAGGGGCAAAATAGCCTGTGTACAGTTGCGGTTAACAATAAGACGACACCCCGGGCATGGGCCAACTTGAAGCGCGGGATCGAGTGTCGTCACCGCCGGAGCGGCACTGAGTAGCCGATCTTGGACTCTTGGCGTCTGCGAGAGCGAGCATGGCTTCGTGTCAGATGAGATTGACGTTGGCAGCACGTTGGCGGTGCCTGCGATTGCTACTGGAGGCTCCGTCTACAGTGTGAGGCAAATAGTACTGTACCACACAGCTGTGTAGATTGGGTACCCGGCCATCTCACCAGACTGCATGGGACAAGCTGGGTAGGGTGACAGTGCCTTGGCGTATGGCAATGGGGTAGTATTGCACGCACAAGGATGTGTAGCGTCTTTCGGCAGTGAAGCTTGCTGCCGGCCGTGGGAGTTGCAATGAAGAGAAAGAACAGGCTGCCACTTTCGGTGTCTGTATGGATAACAACCGTCCCTAATAATAGCCACGGTTATCATCATGTGAAGCAATGCGGTATACGGAGTACGGAGGATGGATATTCTGTACCAAGAGCGAGGTGATTGGCCCATCAAGCGACGGATTGATTACGTCGTCCTCGGGTTCGTCAAAGGCATTGTTCGTGTAGCCACAAACCACGCACAGGACATCTGGAACGTTGAATCACGCCAGAGTACTCCGTAGTGCCAGTCTGGTTACACTAATCCTCTTAGGCGAAACAAACATCGAGGCCTTGGAATTGCGTACGCACAGTAGTCGCCGCGACCCATAATCACATGCTTTTCGACGCGTATCAAAAGATGAAATAAATTTCACGTCGGTGTTTTTTTGTTGAGAGATGAGCATCCCTGGGTGGCATCTTTTGCTACCATTTGCTTGGCTGAGGCAGGGACCTGATCCGCACCTTCCCCGTCTCCCCAACCCCGGCGGGGCGATTGTGCCCCTCGCAGCCGCAGCCAGTAGCATCTGCACGTGGGACGAGCAGGTGCGGCGAGGCTTAATTGCATGTGTGCCGTACGCTGGTTGGCCAAAGCCTGAATCAATTGACACTTTTCTCGGGTCCACTCTATGCAGCTACTCCGTATGCGGCCCCCAATTGCCCTGCTCTTCTGCTGTTCTCTTCGTGCTTCACTGTTCGCTTCATGTTGCTTCGCTGTCGCTGTGCTTTGGTCTGTTTACAGCGCTGAAAGACATTATTGTCCTTGTGTTGAGACTGTCTAGATGGACGTTGCCATGGACTTGAGAGGCAAATGTGCTACGTCCGTCCTGGCATCACTGATGTTCCCCCGTCTTCAAATACACCGAGTAGCACCACCAGCATGTCAGATAGCCAAAAAGGGCACGGTCGAAGCCCACAATCCGGGATGGACAGAAAGCCGCCAGTCATGGCCAAGACGCTTGACTCTTCACGGGGTCGCCAAGCTCCAGTCATGTATGCAGACCACGGCGCGTGCCTTCAACGACAGGACCAAGAGGCCCGGGGCCTCAGCGTCGCCTCTCACGACTCACGAGTCACAATCTCTTAGGTTGCCCAATGGCTCGTGGAGATAGTGTGGCAGGGGGTTCAGGCCAATCAGACAATGACGATTAAATAGTATATTCATTTACTGCGAAATTAGTAGACGATAACAGTGCCAATAACCCTGTCAGGTACAAGGTGCTACATTAATAAATTATTTGCCTTGAGCCTGAATTACGTACTTACTTGGTCACTTGTATTATATAAGCAGCCTATTAGGGGGGTAAACGCCGTTTTTGGGGGGGGGGGGGCCCCCGGGAGCCATTGGGCACCTAAAGAGATAGAGCTGACACTCTGTACAGTCCACCTCCTGAATTATTCTTCATGCGTGACCTGACAGGGGTAAGTAGGAAAACAAGGCTACTTAATCTAGAATCACACCACCTAATTTAGCTGTGACCAGAGCATTTTCAGAAAAAACTATATTACATGTAGCTTTTCTTTAGCCTAACACGGAGTACTGTTTCAGATTTTACGCTTATATAATACTCGTATTATGCTTGTAATATATTTAATTATAAAGTAAAATTTTATAAACTTATAATTATTTAGAAAATATAAAATAAATATGTAAGTTATAAAATATATTTTAAGTTTTACTTTAATTTTTTATAAATTCTTGAATACTTAATTAATTAATTAATACCCTGCTTGGTCACGCATGAAGAATACTTCAGGGGTGGGACTGGATTACCTGCATGTGCTCGTGCTGCCGTCCATGGCTGCCGGTGGCCGCCCACGCTTTATTGCCGCAATGCTAGTCCAATTAGTCTCCCCGGACCCTGTCTGCAGCTGCATTTCACTATGTGTCCTCATCATTTACGTTGGAGCCGTCTTACACTATTTGTATTTGAATCGTGCAAATACGCCTCGGCCGGAGAGCCGCCAGAGAACCGTCCGAGGTCTCATCCTCTCTCAGCCGGGAAGCCTGTCTCGCGCCATCTCTCCGACCACCTGGCCTTGTTCCCACCCGCTTCCGTCTTTAAACCCTGATTTATTTTTCTCTTCCTCTGCGTGTCACCTTGCTTCTCGTTGCTCCAGCCGTCATTCACTTTCGACATTCGTTTATCGTGGTGTCGTGTGGAACCACGCTGCGTTTCCACGACGGCAGCCAAAATGCGATTCAACTTTGGTACATGCTCAAGCGGTCATCGCCCGCTTCCTCAGTATAAAACTTGCCTGAATGACTTGCCCTCTCCTCGTCGCTCCAAGGCGGGCAGGTTGGCCAAATGCATCGTCGGTGGAACCGCATTGCTGGCAGCTGCAGGGCTCGCAGCTCATTACCTGGCTGTAAGTTGCCTCGGACTTGGACACGCCACGACAACTTCATTTTTATTCAACAAAGCCCACTAACTCGGTTATACACAGCCCTCGTTAGACTCCCTCGGATATAAGACGGGTCAAGGCCCGCCGCCTGACAAGGTCCTCACAACGCATCAACTGCAGGCACTGCAACCCGGCAATCGCTCCATCTCAGTTGGTGGCGATCGCCGTCTTCGCATCTTTATGCCCGCCGACTCGCCTCACATCAATCTATGCAAGTCTGTCATGTCAGCCGTGGCCCTGGGCTATCCAGCACCAATTTTATTGAACTGGGGAGGTGAATTCAACCGCCCTGAATGGCACCTGGCCGGCAGCCACATTGCCAAACTTGAGAGTCTTCTATCGGTTATCGAGAACATGCTCTCTCTGGCCGAGGGCGAAGACGGCGATGTCCACCAAGACGACTTGGCCGTTCTTGTCGACGCCTACGACATTTGGTTCCAGCTGCCCCCCTCGGTGCTCATCCAGCGTTACCACCAACTCAACCGCGAAGCCGACGAGAGGGTGCGGCAGCAGTGGGACGACGCCCAAGGCTTTGCAACAGATTTCCCCCTTCAGCCGCCCAAGCAGTCCATCCTTGTCACAGCAGCCAAGGACTGCCACCCGAGAAGCGATTCCGGCTCCGATCCGCACTACTCACACTGGCCCGAGTCGCCCATGCCCTCCGACATGTACGGCCACGGCACCGACAAGGTTCTCACCATGCCCTTGGACCCGGCCCGAAAATTCAAGAAGATCCGGCCGCGATGCGTAAACAGCGGCATGATCATGGGCACAATGGGCTCCCTCCGCGACGCTCTCATCCGCGCCAAGGCCAAGGTCGAAACCGTCGCCCACCGGGGAAGACAACTCTGGAGCGACCAAGCCCTCTTTGGCGAAGTGATTGGCGACCAGGAAATGTGGCGAGAATGGGTGCGCCAACTGGGCACCACTTGGAACGGAACCGCGTCAGAAAACTACCTCTCCCGCCTGCCGGCCGACGTGCGCAGCATCGCCAAGGCCGCACTGAAGGGCGAACGATTCGAGTACGGCATCGGCCTAGACTACAGCTTCGGCACGATCCCGCCTACATGCTCTGCCGAAGAGGACGGCTACTTTGTCCAGATGAACGACAAGCAGGCACTGAAGCGGGAATCAGCCAGGGCCGGCGTTCCCAACGGCGAGGTTCGCGTCAACGGTGTGCCCGCCGAGCTCGACCAGGCCGGCGTCGGGTCGGAGCACTTGTCCGGCATCAAATGGGGCGATGCGTCGCTCTACACCGACTTCTTCTTTGGCGTCGCCCCCGTGGGCATCCACCACAACGCGTACGTGGACAACCTCAAGTCGACCCGTCTGAGGGAGTGGTGGGGCAAGATGTGGTTCTACCCGCAACTGCGCAATCTGGTCGCGCGGGCGCTCCTCCCGATGGACGCCGGAGACACCATTCGCCCGCTGGCGAGAATTCCAGCACAAGAAGGAGGCCAAGTGACAAAGTACTGGACGCCCAAGTCTGACCTGCGCAATAGAATGGTCAAGGTCTTTGAACCTGCCTCTCTTGACGCCAAATCTGGCGGCTCTTTCGCCTCCATCGAATGGGAGGGCGTGTGTCAGCGGAGTGGGCAGAAGCCCTGGCATGAAGAGCTCTTTGGCGACAAGAAAGGTGCGTGGCAGTTGTAACGGGGCTTACAAAACCCGCACAAAGAACAAAAAAAAAAAGGATGCGGGCGGCATTTGGAATTGAAGGCGGTGTTGGAGGATCCATTGGTTTATGGCGTTGTAACAGCAGCGAATTAGCATTATACCCAGCTTCTTACCATTTTTATATGTATAGAGGATAGATTTGTTCGGGACGGGCGTTACGGAGAGGCCGCATCAACTGTGGCATTAGTATAGACGGCAATGACAAAAAATTGATCTGCATGACCGTGATGACGCGAGGGGTGCAGACGGACAGGGATCGGCCTGACGGGCCGTGTGTGATTTGACGTTTGCCAACGGACGGGGTGCCGCCGTGCGTCTCGGCCGGTCTTGTGGATCCCCGTCACACACCACCCCCTCCGCTCAGCCTTGTATCCCATGAGGCTCCGAAGCTCCTTACACCAGCTGGCTGTCGTTGCAGAGCCCTCCGACCACCACCTCTTTTATTCATGTATTTCTCCTAAATACAAACAAGGACAAGTCCCCGCCATGGCGCCCGGGACGAGCCTCCCGCCGCCCGTGGACCCGGCCCTCATCGCCACGCTCCTCACCTTCCTCTCCCTCCCGCCGGCCACGTCCATCGCGGCGCTCGAGGCCAACGCCGCCTTCCACCGCATCTACCTGATACACTACGCCTCCCCGCCGCCCCCGGAGCTGCGGGACCTGCGGCGCTCCCCCGGCGGCGGCGGCACGAGCCTGGTGCTGCGCGTGTCGGGCCCCCAGGCGCCGCCGTACCTCAAGACGGCCAACGAGGTCCGCGTCGTGCGCCACGACTGCACGCCGCGCAACGTGCTCGGCCGCGAGTTCACCCTGCTGGAGCGCATGCCGGGCCGCAGCGTCGACGGCGTCTACGCGCGCCTCCCCGAGCCCGCGAGGCGCAGGCTCGTCAGCCGCCTCATCGACGTGCTGGTCGAGCTGCACGCCCACGCGTTCCCGCACGTCGGCGGGCTGCAGCTCGTGGGGGGCGACGTGGTGCCCGGCCCGCTGCTCGAGGATACCTGCTGGTTCTTGCCGGACGTCGAGGCCGAGTTTGGCACCGACGTGCCGGTCGGGGCGCCTGGCGCGCTGGGCCCGTACGCGTCGCACGCCGACTTTGTCAAGGGCTTCGTGGGCGCGTTTGTGCATGCGATTTGCGTGCGGGAGCGGCTGGGCTGGGTGCGCGACCTGGTGCCACGGCTGGCGGCGCTGGCGGGGGCGCTGCCGCGGCTGAGGCTCCACACCAGGATGGTGCTGGCGCACAAGGATCTGCACTTTGGCAACGTCATGGTCGACGAGGACGGGGAGCTGACGGCCGTCCTGGACTGGGAGTTTGCCGGCGTGGTGCCGGTCGTGCGGTGGGATCCCGTGCGGGCCTTTCTCTGGAACGGCGTCTACTCGCAGGAGGGGCACGACGAAAAGTACCGCATGAGGGCCGTGTTTGAGCGCGAGCTCGAGCGCCGCGGCGTCGACAAGTGGTGGGAGGCGACCAACCCCGACATTGACGCCGTCTGGGACGTCGTGAGGTACGTGAGGGCCATTGTCGAGCCGTGTCCCAGGGGCGACAAGATGGACCTGTGTCGGGTTTGGAGGGCCAAGGCCGAGGAGGCGCTGGCCAAGCTGGGCGTTTGATCGGTGACATTAGGAGGCACGTTGGTGCGACGGCGGCGAGAGAGGGGGGGGAGGATGCCGGGAATCGACAATACGGGCCAGCGGGACTATTGGGCAACGGATACTTGTTATTCTTTTTATTTCTGGGGAGATTCTTGCGCTTGGGATTATCCTGCGGCCATGTGTCTCCAAGACGTTGATACTATTTTATAATTTCGCTACCACTACCGTTCCGCCGGGGTATCCGCATGCCACCACCGCCCAAACCATACGAGACGCTAACAAACGAAACAGGAAGAATTACTACAAAGGGGAAGAGGACAAACAATGAGGAGTCGCCAGAGACGTATTGGCTCACGACGCCTCCTCGGCCATTCGGACAATTTCACACAGGCTTCTCATGAACAACATATCTGCGTCCTCGGCCCCCATGTCCACCATTCGTTCTTCTCCGGTGTCACTTTCAGCCATGAGCTTGGCCGTGGCTACCAGTCTGGCGATGCACTGCAGCAGGCCGCTCTGTATCACCCGCAGCGCATTGTCTTGGCTACTGGGCGTGGTGTTGCGGCTGGTCATGATGCCCTCTTTGTTCCATTCGCCCAGAGGCGAACTCACGCGCCTGGGGAATCTGCCCATGCTGGCCGCTGCCTCTGCGGAAGCTGAGGCTGTGAGTCCGAGCAAGGACGCGGCCTTCTTGGGAATGTCATCTTGCTGCTGCTGCTGCTGCTGCTGGTCCCTCGTGCTCATCGAGCTGGTGCGTCCATTGCCAGCAACTGGCGCGGGGTTGCGTGCTACCAAGGCCGAGACGTAATTGTACGACACAATATGGGCATAAATGGCGTCGCAAATGTAATCAGAACAGTGCCCGAATACGTTCTTGATTGGAGTCCACGACTTTGGCACGTCCAGTTCCTCTGACGATGTTGAATCCGTGCTACTTCGCTGGCGTGAATTGGAGTACATCGGCGTTGTTTTCCAATCTGATGGCTGCGGCCCCTTTTTGTAGTCGATGACTTTGCGCCAGAGCGATTTTCTTGGTGGCTGGATGGATGTATCCCCGGCAATGCTGAGCGCTTCTGTCACGGGATGCCGCATTTTCTTCGCATAGCTGCGAATGGTCTCGACGGTTAGACTAGACGTCAAGAGCATCGTTTCCGGGAAGCATGCCACCGACACCCGCAGTGTCTCGATAGCATCCGGTGGTAAGGGCACAGCTCTTGCAGCCTCGTCGCCGTGCGATGCCCAGGGATATGGCTGCAGGCTGCTGTTGAGCCACGATTGAACACTCCGCAAAGGTTGCGGCGGTGTCGGCGGCCGGACGAAATATGCATGGGGTTTGGCAGAGTCACGATTCGCAACAGGGGATAAGCCTTCGTCATCAGACACGGAGCATGCGTTGGTGACGAGTGAGGTCTCTAGATAGATGGCTGGCTGAAGTGACGGCTTTTGTAGCCGATGAGTTGGAAAGGACGAGTCTGTAGCACTGGTCCGAAGCGATTGAGTGCGCCGCATTGTTTTCAAAGATTGACACTGGGTCGGACACGTCGTTTGAAGTTGATCATTTTTGAATGCATTCTCGGCAGACTTTATTATTGGCCCGTTCATCGTTGATGGTCGCACCGGCACGCTCAGAGATCTACCGGAGAGTTGCCTCTGAACTGGCACACTCGGGAAGCCACCGCTAACAGAGTGTGATTTCCGGTGGGAGGAGTTGTGAGTATGGATCCAAGGGTTTGATACGTCGAGATTCGGGTCTGTCTCAGTAATAGAAGAGCTGAACTCAGAGCATGGCGGTGTTTGTGGTCTCGGAGACAGTGATCCCACATTGTAGTCTTGTGTGTTGCTGTCAACATGATCCTCGCCATCCGAATCGCCCTCGATCCAACTGCATTCATACTGATTGTCAGGAAGAAGCGAATTCTTCTGTCTGTAGGCCACGGACGCAAAGGACGTTGCGGTCGTGGCGACGGAACCGCGATGGCGGAAGTCGGGTGGTTCGGCGCCGTCCGAGCTGCAGTGACTAGTTGTGCTGGATGATTCGGAATCAAGTTCATATTTTTCCACAGGAAACTCTACTTCCTGGTCGACAAATGATGTCGTGGAATCCCTTTCCTCAATGGGATCAAGCGAATGGACTCTCGCGGAAGCGGCTAGATATGGCGAATACAAGGCCATCCTGCTGGCCCGTAACCTTGCTCGCTCCTCAGCAGAAAGTGAAAACACGGGGGTCCCAGCTGTCATCTTTTTCTCCGCGAAAACAGCTGCCGACAACTCCAAGTCTCTAGCAAGGACCTCGGGTAGGCAGTCGGCCGCACGATCTGCCATGCCTTCGTCCGCTGGCGTAGGCTGACTGTCGCTCCAAACACTTGAAGAAGACGGTGAAAGTTTAAGTGGAATCAGATCCTTCATGCTTGGCACAGACCTTCTCCTCCCACTTGATGGTGACGACCTCGCAGTTGAGGGCGTTTCACTGCCAGAAGTCGATGGCGCTTGCGATTCACTTCCAATGGGAATTAGCTTCAAGCCAAACAGAGACGTAAACGCCGATTCTTTACTTCCAGGTATTTGCATTGAGAAAGGCAATGCCCAGGAAGCAAGGCAAGCGTGCTGGATTTTGGGGATGGGGGCGTATTGTTATATCGATAATTGGATGACCATACAATCAGAACAAACAACCATGCACAGACCAAGGATAGCGAAACACTGGCAATCAAGGAAGAAACATGCAGAGACAGAAAACAACAGATCTTGTGTTCACGCCCCGGCAGTGGATTTGGATGCCGCGGCGAAAGGATGCCCGTTCATTTTGGATACAGGCGAGGCAATAATAATCATAAGACTGTCGCACTGTGTCTTCGCGGAGGATATTGATATTGAGGGGCGATGGAGGGACTATAGCACCCTCTATGACGCATCGTAGGGCGGCGGTGAGGTTGGGCGGACGTTGATATCACTCTGATGACTGCCGGGGTTGAAAGAAGCAAAACTACAACAGTGCGCAAAATACAAAAGCAAAGTCGCAGTGGCGCTACGAGACCCTTCAACATGCCACCATCAAGGGAGGCGTTGAATACTTTGTCGAAAAAGAAACAAGCAACAGCGCCTAGCCTACCGCGGAAGTCCAAAAAGCATAGCGTTTCGGCAATTGGTGCAACAGCTTCTGTGATGATGCTCGTGCAGTGCCTACTGAATGGTTAGCAGTGTGTGTAACAATGACGCTGGACAATGTCCCAGGTAACCAGGCAGCTCTCAACAGCTCTTTCAAGAGACGCGAGTCCAATTGACGGATCTATTGTGCGCAATACTGAAACCAGGGCGTGTTTAATGAACATGCAGCAAAACCTCTTGGTCTTGCCCTTGGTGCCCTTAACGGTGAGGCTGCATTTTATAAAAGCAAATCCACCACAGTCCCTCGCCAAAGCAAGCCACATCGAAGCGCCCCAAACGAGCGCTGGTGTCCAAGACTCTGGTGGTACAGGGGTCTTTTCGCAGAGTCTTTAAGTCGTGAAAGCGAGAGTAATCCACAGGGCTGCCATGTGGCATGGAGCTCGGCCATGTAATTATTCCTTCACCAGCACCCCCCGTATGAGCAATTAATTTGGCAATGGCTTACGACGGCAACCGGCTTCGCGCCGTTTTGTCGAGACCTGGTGCAGTTTGAAGGTTTTTCTCATCATTTCCTGGAAGGCAGGGAGTTGTCTTGTTAGGTTGCATCCATTAGGCTTTCCTGGCTGCAGGTCGTATGTAGTTAGTACTCTGTACTAGTTGGCAAAAGGGGGCATTGCATGATTCTTCCGAGGATGACGACGTGCGAGGGAAGCGAGAGCGATGGCACATGGTCAAGCGAAAAGCACAGAGCCGCGGGTATTAGCCAACTGGTCAGTAAACAAGACGCAGGGCGGAGATGTGAGCGGCTGAGACAGAAGCAAGGGGGTACTGATCGATCAGAGCCATCCCTGGCTAGGAAGAGAACCGAAAAAGCAAGCAGGCGCTCGGAAAGAGTGTAGTTTCATGATGAGGTAGGTAACACTCAACGGCGGATAAGATGACAAGTGGATAAAGCAATGATGTTGATGGCTGGACAGCGACTTGGCAGAAGAAAGGGTGAATTTGCGTACTCGGCAGTCCTCTCCAAGTGAGGGTTGATAGTCTAGGCGTTCAGGGATCTAAAGAATGTGCAAATGGACGTCAATCTCCGGCACAGCAGATGTAGCACAGCAGATGCAGGGCACAGAGTACGGAGTATGCAGATGGTGAATTCGGTCCAGTTATCTGGGCATCACGAGTTACACCACAGTCTCGAAGGCACGGGGGAGGAAGGAAGACAGCAGTCGCACCTGCCCTCAGTTGACCCGGACCAAGCACATCGCGCATGCGCGTAAGCAAACAAGCAAGCTTTTCATCTGCAAGGGCAATTGACAAATGTCCTAACAATCGGTCGCATGTCTATTCCCAATGTCCCCGTTCTGTGGCACATTGACTGCATACAATGCAAAGGGTGCCGCTGATGGCAAACACGCCAACACGATAACTACTCGGTGCAAGCTTACAGCAGTCGGGCCCAACGACGCCTCTGCCCCTCCTCGATTCTTGTGAAACGGAACTCGGCCCTCTAGCGACGACTGTACAGTCGCCCCACTGAACATCATGTCTGCCGCAAGAGGCAAAATTTCCTTGGCGCCTTTTCTTCCTGTTTGCCAGCAGAATAAAACGCATGAAGGAAGCAGTGTGATGCCGCGCTCATCACATTTGTCTCGACTTATGTATGGCTCAATCAATAGCCTCGCCCTCCCTTGTCATGCTGGGCCGTCAGTGTCTGCCATGCTGGCATGTCGCTGTCTGACATCCAACCAGCCATCCTCACATTTCAACCTCTTCGTCGTTCCGTGGGTCTGGCAATCCACAACCCGCAATAAGCTCTCAATTGCTTGTGTGGGGCTCGGCCGTCGTGCATGGCACTGGAGGCTGGTGATTCGATGGCATTGCGGATGGATTCAATTTTCTTCCTTTTTTGTTGGAGC